GTTTTTGAAAAACCCCTTGCTCTCTTATGTACAGAGCGCCTCTCCCCAGTGCAGTCAATGTTCAACCTCTGGGTCCTCCCTCCAGTTGGGGTGCCTACTCCAAGGGATGCTTGGAGAGCGGTCCCTCATCTATAAAACTGGCGCCCCAGTTGTGGAACATGCTCCCCAGAGAGGTCTGCCTGGTGCCAACACTTTTATCTTTTCGGCATCAGGCGAAAACCTTTTTATTCTCCCAGTATTTTAATTCTTAATTTGTTTTAGTGGAGGGTTGACATTTTAATCATTGGATGCTGGGCAATTGTTGTTGTTGTTGTTTTGTTTTTGACTAATCTATTGTAAACTGTCCAGAGACTTTTAAGTATGGGACGGTATAGAAAAGTTTTAAATTAAATAAATAAATAAATAAAATGACCTTCCCACTGTGGCCTGCCTGGTGCCAACCTTGTCATCCTGGCAGCAGGTTAAAATCAGCTCCTATGCCACCGCTTTTAAATAGACACCTGGTGGTCCAGGGGCTTGAGGGAATTACCCGTTACAGGTGTTTCGTGTCATTTGTGCTATGCTTTAGCTGTTTTTAATTTTGTATGCTTCTTTTGCTAAGATCTTACGGTATTCTTACTGTATTTTATTGTATTCTTTTTATGGACTGTTGTTAACTGCCCAGATAGCTTTTGCTATGGGGTGGTAGAGAAATGGAATGAATGAATAATGGTAGATGGTGGCAGAGCCAGGGACAGTCATGGCCTTATATTGCACATTTTTTAATTTTTGGTTGGTAGCACCAGGAGGCCTGTTTCAAAAGAGTGACTTGCCCCATCCATTCTATAGCAGCCCAGTCCTGCAACAGATCTGTTTCCACAGCGGTGGACTGTGGGCTGGGGCTGACAACAACTCCTGTCAGCCCCAGATGGAAGGTGCAGATGTCTGCTTAGGTAGCCCATGATGCCTCTATGTAAAAGTCATTCTGCATATCATGCAAGATGAGCTACTAGTACTGAGGACTGCACCACTTCAGACTGTGTGCGTTACTGCTATATTTTGAAAGAAATAAACCCTCAACCTCTGTATGTAGTAAACAAACAATCACGTGAGCAGTGTGTTAAATCTACTGTGTTACTTTCTACAGGATTGCAGGGTGTGTGTTTGCTTTAAAGGAGCATTAACACCCTGATCTATCGTCTGAAGTTGTACAGGCCAGAATGGACCACCTTAGTGTGTGCTGTACAGAATGCCCCTTGATCATGAGTTAGATTTGAGAATAACTGTGGCTGCTGTGTAATTCTGAATATTCAAAGTGAAAAGTAAAGCAAGACAGCAGAACCTTTGCTCTAGTGGGAGCCTGTTTACGTTACTGCAGTGGGCCAGGCCTAAAACAGTTAACCGAGGGGTTCTCTCCATGGGAAGGAGAGTTGTGAACCGAGAGGCATTCTGCATTCCCAAAAAAGTGCATTGCCAAAAGAAGCAGCTTACATCATGGGTCGCTGTAGCGTTCCCACACATTTTGCTCCTAATTACTGTCCTGCTGGACAGCTGAGCTGTTTCAAACAGGAAGCTGTTTATAGATAACGTTTGCGACTGTTGGGTCTGATTTGCTGAATATTGGAGAGCAGGAGACAAGCCCGCTTCAAATTAAAAAGTATCAGACTTTTGTAAATAGTAGCAATGAAGTTCTTCTGTGCAGTGTCTTTCCAAGCAGAGGCTGGGCTACACGGCCTGTTTTCTCAGCAGTCATAAGGTAGGTGATGCTTCAAAACCTCAGGAGAACAGATGGAGGATGGGTCGTGTGCGGGCGCGTGAAATAGAAGAGTGAGTGGCAACAGCCAAACTTCAGGAAAGCGTTTTTGTTTTGTTTTGAAACGCACTTTGGAAAGATAGCATTTTATGTTCTGAACAGGCCATGGGATTCTTATGGAATTCAGTTCATGAAAAGTCAGCAAGTACTGGTATTTGATTGATTGGTATTTTGACCGTCAAATATTACAATGGATTTCAACTATTCTTCTTCTTCTTCTTCTTCCAGGGGAGTATATGGCCATATTTTCTAGCTTTGGTTTTAATTGTTTTAAAATAGCACAAATGTTGCAATAAGTTTTAACTGCTGTACGTTTTGCTCCAGCCAGTGGCAAAGTCTTTCCCAGCTTGGCTGAGGGATGCTGGGAGATATAGTCCAATCCTGGTGGGTGACTAGTTGGGGAAGGGTGCTTCAGAAAAGGTGAAGTTAGCACTGAGTGAATCAGGAATGAGAGGGAACAAAGGTGGGCTGCCCTTCCTTGTGGCAATTATTTATTCCTGACAACACAAGCATGAAAACCATATTCTTCCAAACTGTCTTCTCATGTTGCAAAGATAGTGACTTTGTTCCCCAAATTGCTGATCTACACACACATTTAGATTGGGGTGTCTGTGGGAAATAAAGGATAAGAAAACCACTGTGGTATGGTGGCTAGAGTGTTGGACTGGGGACCTGCAAGATCTGGGTTCTAGTCCCCACTAGTCATGAAGCTCACTAGGCGACTTTGGGCCAGTCACAATCTTTCAGCCTAATCCACCTCTGTTATTTTGAGGATAAGACTGAGGGGAGAAAGAAGTTTATGTAAGTCATCTTGGGTTCCTTGCAAGAGGAAGAAAGGCAGGATATAACTATCTTAAATAAATAATACAGATTATGCTAGGCTTCCTTACTGGTAATTGTGTGGTGGTTAGAAACACTGGATTTTAGCCAAGAAGAAAGGATGGAAATAGTTAAGTGGTATTGGAGAGGACTTGGGAGAAGGCATGGAGCAAAGTTGTGCGCATAGGTGCAAAAAGTGTGCAAACTGGAGGAACCACTGAGGTTTTCTAGGCAGGGATGGCACAACACCCCTCACCATGTCCTCTCTTCTCTATTTGCCTCCTGGGCATGATTCACAATGGCGGCAATATTCTCCCACAAGCCCCCTTCTATCTTGCTCCTCCCTACAATGGCAATGATGTTGGGTACCACCCAACCTCCCTCTGCTTTTCACCTCGTTGAAGCAGACAATAATGTTAGCAGTGGTGTCCTCTGCCCATTTTCCTCCTACTACTTCCTCTCCCTTGGTGAGGATGATGCTTGGAGTGGCGGTATCTGGCTGGCTCATTCCTCCTCTCCTCACTGCTGCTGGCTCTCCTCACTCTGGACATGCACAGCACAGCTTCTCTTCTCTAGGCTTCACCCTATTTTTCTGGGTGATGGTTGCTATCCTCCCCGCAATGGTGGTGGCGGCAGGCCTCTTTCCTTCACTTGAGGGTCATTCCTTAGAGCAAGGCAGGAAGATAGCCTTGCAAACTGCTTGCACTGTGGCAGCATAGGTAATCTCTAGATCATATCCATGCCAGTGCCTCACTCTAAAGAAGGACCCCTTCTTTAGGGGTCACAGTCCCCAAAGGGAATCACAGCCAAGGTTTCTGGAGACCTGCACTTGGCTGTTCTTTCTTCTGAGCAGCTGGTGTGGCATCTCAAAGAGTTTACCCATGCAATCTGCACTCAGAGGGGTCTCAAGGCATATCAGGTGGATGGTGCTCAGCCACTCTTGCCACAGCAGAAGAGCAGGCAGCACAGCTTCTGAAGTGCCAGGCAAGTTGTATTGCTCTGGCAGCAGAATCTGCCACCATTCAGAATCTTTCACGTGAAGCAGAGGATGCACCCCACTACATAGAAGGGCCAGTCCTATTTCTAGGAGCCAGACTTGAAGGAAGAAAAAGGTGGAACCATGAACATTACATGTTTCCATTACATGTTCCCTCTCAGTTCATTTCAGGCAATACTGAACGGAGAAGTTGTAGAACTCAAGCCAGCTAGAAAATAGTTTTTGGCTTGGAAACTTTCAGTACCAAGGGAGAAGCAGTCTATATTTTCCTATAGCCACATTTCTTACCAGCACTGCTCCTGCTCATTTTGCTGAGTGAAGCCGACCCTTGAAAGAGTTGTGTTCTTCTGAAAAGTCCTGCTTCAAATTAAGTCCTGCTTCTGAGAGAACCTACTGAAAAAAGGAAAAACATGGTGAGCCAAAATAAACAAAGAAAAAGAAAAGCCAAGTTGAAAATGGCAAACACGGAGGATGGAAGAAAATGTTGAAGGGTGGAAAGTGGACTAGTGGGAGAAAGAGGAAGGGAAAAAATAGAAAAGTTGAAGAGAATGGTAAATTGTAATGGGAGAAGGGAGAGACCTATGGGAATAAGAAAGATACTGGATATAGAAAGGATATAAATATTTGGATACAAGTTGAGTGGGAAAGGATAGGGATCATGAACAAGTTATGAGATGAAGAAAGGCTAAAGAGTGAAAGAACTGAGAAAAAACTGTGGTAGGGGGACAGAATGAAGGGTGATTTTGAAAAACTGTTTTGCTCGACTTTGAGATTGGCTGTTTTCACCTTAAATATACACGTGCAACTAAATACCACCCCACCCCATTCTCATTTGCCCATCATGCATGTGCACACATGCACATGCACTCAGAGCACAAATGGGATTAAAACATGTAAGAGCAGCAGAAACAACAGAGAAGAGGAAATTCTCCATATACAAACCAGGAGTGGAGAAACGGGACAGAAACACTCCTTCTAATTTTAAAGCAGAAATTATAGTGATTATATCAAATTATGTCAAACCTTTCCAGCCAGTGCTCAGCCTGGCAGATGCTCTCTTGGAGTAAAGAGCTGGGCCCTGTCCATATATTTAGATTACTTACATGTGGACAAAAGCATAGTTCCTGTGTGAGCAAGAGTTACCCAAATCGCCTCAGATACTGCACTCTCCTAACACCTAGCCCTTCTCTAGCAACTGTTGCTGATGGGAACTATGTGACAGACAGTGGCTGGATCCTGCAAATCCTATTTTTTAAAAACAGTTTTAAGCACAGGAGGAGGAAGTGGCTTCTTTCACTTTTCGGACTTCCAATTTCCTCTTACCAGATACAGTGTTTTAGCCATCAGTGGCTACTGAATACATGAAGTCTTACATCCATGGTGAGGAGTTATTAGTTGCAATATTCAGTAACTTGGTGGAAGGGTAATAGGTATCCATGCTACCAGTTCACATGAAATATTGTTTAAATGGGAGCACAAGATTAAATGACTTGATATATCCAGCCTTAAGTTCCAGTCTTGAAACTTGTTCCAGTGCCAGAGTGGATGCCTTAAAGCAAGGGAAAGCTGGCATCACTGCAGTGCTTGCATGCAGTGCTGTCCCTGGAAATCTGGAATTTGCAAGGTTGAGTTCCAGAAAATGAGGTTGTGGTAGCTTTGAGATTTTATAAATCATAGAATAGCTGGGTCAGAAGGGGCCAGGAAGGCTTTCGGGTCCAACCCCCTGCTGGTGCAAGACGCCTGTTAGACCAGCCCACTCAGATAACTCTAATTTGTCATCCTGTCAAGCAATGCTCAGGAATGTTATATGCTAGCTAAATGCCCATACATTTTGACAGGAGCATGCAGCAAGGAGAGCTGGTAATCCATCTCCTCCTTTGACCCACAGAGCTTAGTAGAGGCCACCCAGAACGGGTCGGCTCTTCCTCCTATTCCCTCTGTGGGTATGTACATTCTAGCACACCTTCTCATAGCACCCCAGGTTATGGGCTCTTCTTTAACATTTTTAAATTAGGAAAATCTTGAGAGCTCTCCCTTTTTACAGTAAGAACAGCAGTGAACAAGCAGACTTATTCGCTCTTTCATTACTTTTTTTTCTCATGCATCTATGTTTGGGATCTTTCTTCCCCCCTAACTGACCTCTCTCCATGGTTTTGAAAATGAATGCTTGGCCTCCCTAGGGGTACCAAGAACTGCTTTCTCCCACCATATGCATTGATTGGGCCTGGAGACTGACTGCCAACTTCATCCTCCCAAATCAGTCTGGGTTAGAGGAGGCTATGTGCCTGTTTTGTCTTGATTGAGAGACCCTTTTGTGCTGTTCACTTCCCTGGGGACCTTTAGATCTCTGACCTTTCCCTTAAATTTTCTTTGATCTGTTAGTCTGAACTCCTTCCTGCACTGAGGACTAGTTGGATCACTCGGCAGCTTTGGAAGGATATATCTTGCAAAATGGCTGCAACATGCTATGGAATTCTCATTTTTATGTTTGTACGGTCACAACACACTTATTATATTTATATGCTGCCAAGGTAGGAAGCACTTGACCATTCCATTCATAGAGTACTGTAAACTCTTTGGAATTGTTGGATGCCTTTGGAATTCTTATGAACTCTTTATTCATTCTTTCCTATAGGAGTAAGGGACAAACCCATTATGAAGAGTGATCTGGTTTTCTTTGTCTCTGTAATTAGCCTTGCCTTCCTGTCTTTGCCAAGATCTGGATATGCTCAGCATATTGCAGAAGAATCCTGCTCTGTTCAGATTCTGGTTCCAGGCCTCAAAGGTAATGGGCATATCTTTCCCAATTGTCAGTCATGTCCTCCCCTTTCCATCCCTTTGCCATAGTGGCTCTCTAGCAATTGTTAGATGTTTTGTATTTTGAAAATTGCATATGCAAACTTGTCTTTCTAAGGGTGCAATACTACGATATTTCAACAGAAAAAATCTTAACCTTTCAATGTTTCCCAGCCAGCATTTTGGGAGCTGTACCAACTTTTTCTGCCTGAACATACACTGTATTGCACCTTAAAGCTTTGTTGGTATTATTTATTCACTGTATTTGTAAAGTATCTTTTTATTCCAGGCAGGGTTTTCAGGCTCATGGTTGTGGAGAAATGAACATGGGGGCAGCCAGGGCTGGGCTTGGGGCCAAGGTCCAGTACCCTACAGTCTGGGGAAGTGAGGGGGAACAGGTGCAGAAGGAAATTTCAGTGTATTCCTTTAGTCATGCCACTTTGATTTAACTGAATCTAAAATGCAAAACTATACATGTTCACTGTATATCCTCATCAATATCCAGTTTTATTGTTGCTCTAATATGACAGAAATGTAGAAACAGTTTTAAAACATGGAATGGCAGCTGCAGGGCATAGGAAAGAAATTTTAGCCATTTGCTTCACATTACAGCGTCATGCGAGGTCCTTACTCCCCCAAGAGAGCTGCAGTCTGGTTCAAATATTATTTTGCCCCACCACTGGCAACAAACAGCTGGAAGTATTGGCAGGATCGCAAAGAGCTTTGGGTGGTACTCAGATATGATTGCCCAGAGTTCTTGGTACACAACCACCCACTAAGCCTTACATCTATCCCTCTGACCTACTTGCACCTTGGCTCCAATTTTTCAACCTTGCCTGCTCCCCTGATCCTTGAACCTAGGCAAAAATTAAAAGCTGTAAGGCCCCACCCCCATGTACTGTAGCAAAGAAAATTAACAAGCATTTGAAATCTGTAAAATACCGAATGCAGCATTTGGAGGCAGTTTGCACAGGCTTATATGCATACTGGTTGGCTTGCTGACTGTTCTAGCATTCCAGTATTTTGTATTACCTTATTTCTTATGAAAGGGTTAGATTTAAAAAATACCTTAACTATCTTTTTGAGATAGATTTCTCATTTTGGCCACCCCTGCTAAGCTATTAAGTTTGCTGCTGTCAACAGATTCTGGACTAGGTCTCCTGTTATTCAGGGTTGTCCATCAGCCAGGAGAAAGAGAAGGCTTTTACCTTGCACTCAGCTATTTTATATCAATAGCTTGATGTTCATAAACCATCAGGTGAAATTCATAATATTTGTAGATCGAAATGCTGTTAAAGGCACAACTACAATCATCTGTAAGCTGGCAGTCTTCATTATTGTACACAGCAAAAAATAAAAATCAAACATCCTTTTGTGTTTACAGTCTGGGCACCTGCAGAATGTCATGTTTCTTTAAGGAAGAGAAACTGCTTGGCTTCGTTCTCTCTAGGGTTAGTCCTAGACTACCACCCATGGCTTGCCCCCTCAGTGTTGGAATATTTTGTGGGGCCGTTATGCCTGAGAATTCTGCCTCTGACCTTGAGATCACTAAACTTGAAAGAGAAATATTAAAGGAACTACTGTAAGAAAGTGGGATTAATTGAAATGTGTGACACCAGGTCTTATGCCTGAATAAGGAGTACAGCTGAGTGATTTTGTCACTAGCTGTAACTGGTGTTACAGTAATTGTTAAATATTCATGTGTTGGTATCCCAGCAAATGCAGATTGAATTTTGGTTATTAATTTATGCATAGGATATCATGTTTGCATACTGTTTTTAATAGTTGTTGCCTAAGGTTGTTTGTCATCTACTCTGTTGCAGAACCACTGCCTTCTGTATCTATCCCATGCATGGGATGAAGTAGATGAATGCAAATATAAGCTTATATCATAATAAAGCACTGTATCTTTATGATGTTCCTGATGTATTTTACTGGGGCATTTACAGAGAAGGTTATAATCTAGCACTTGATCTGTGGGTGACTTGCAGTACGTCACCAAGGATTTACATTTCCCAGTTTTCCCAGTAGCAGCGAATGAACTTGCTGAAAGTAGCAAACAAAAAAATATTAGGGAAAACCCAGAAATGGATTTCTCTGTATGAAAGGACCACAAACTTAAAAGTTCTGGAATGGGGGCAGGGGAAGAAAACCCTTGGATTGAGATGCACTTGAGAGCTGGCCTGTTCCTTAAGTCTGAAGTTTATAGAATCCCACTTTTTTCCTTCCCTAAAGCATTATTCTGTGCTTCGCTCCAGCTGGTGGCTCTTGAGATTCAAGCAAAATACAAACTAGATTCCTCAAGCTCAAAATCATTCCATCTCAGTCATTATGCATCTCTGTTTCTCAAGCCCGTATGGCTTTTGTGCCATCATATGAACTCACCCTGAAGTGTATTGGGAATCAAAGTCTGAGTTGTAAAGCGTTCTGCTTGAGAGCCACCCCTCTGTATGAACATGGGGCATGCATGAGAGGGGAGGCATGACTCTGAGCATGCTGTCTTTCTGTTGCAGAATGCCTCTTCCTAAGCCAAAGAGGCGATTACTGCCTCATGTGCTCTCATCTTCCCTGTGGGTGAAATTTTCCAAAAGACATGTCCAAGCATGGCAGAATGTGTTTAGTCAAATAAGAAAAAAGGCAGTTTAGAAGAAGAAATGGAGAACTGTGTTGAATTGGAGCCCAGTGTCTTATAACTAGATTTAATACAGGGCAACCTTATGTAAAGGAATCGTCTGTTGGTTTGAGCACACTTGGCAGATGGGGGCCTTCCTCTTGCTTGGTAATGTTTGCTTTGCCTTTGGGGAGTTAGATTCCTTGTTTGTAAAATTGAAACATAACACAACAGCTAGATAAACCATACCAGCTCATGCAGTCAAATGTTTTGTAGAACAACAAATACTTAACAGTTTGTGTAAAATGTGTTTAGAATAAGGCACACAAATACTAAGGATTGTGTTTTTTACCAGGTACAAGCCTTTAGAGTTTAATGAGTTCCAACAATAACCTTTTTATCGAGTAATCAGGAACACACACATATATATAAAAGGGAAAAAATGGAAACCTGAAGGGAAAAAATCCCAAATATGTTCATGCTTCCACATATCCTGTCTAATTAGAAGCTATAATCATAATAGTGAGGGAGATTGTTGAGGAAATTCAGTGAAGCATAAAATGACCTGCAAAGGCCGCAGCTAATGCAAAATCTCTAAAAAGCCATCAGTGCCTGATCTGTTGGGGGGCGGTGGCTGACTAGCTTAGGAGAGCGCTAATGAGAAATGGATCCTTCCTTCTGTCGGCTAGAATCTGGCATGTATCCTCCACTTCTGTGCAGACTTGAGACACAGTACTTTGGAGCAGTCATATTTCTTCTTCCGAGGGGCTGTCAGGGAGGTGCCTTTGACAGTGCCACACAGATTAACGGAGGCACCTCACATCTACCTTAAACCTAACCCTAACCTAACTGAGGCTTTATTCACACAAAAGCAGTCAGCAATGCATATTCCTACTGGGACTGTTGCCAAGGGCATGCTTTACTTCTGTGCTATTCACATATGTCTTTTCATACAGCAGTGCTTTTCTGCATATTTTCCTCCATAAGAAGGTATGCGTCAGTTGAGGTCATTCCAGAGTTCTTCACTGCTTTACTTTGTAGCATGTTTATTTTATTTCATGGTTAATGCTTTAGGATATAGCAGCCTTTCCCAGCCTGGTGTCCTCCAGATGCTTGGGGCTTTAACCCTCCTCAGACCCAATCGGCATGGCTGATGGAGTCAGGCATTCTGGGAGTTTTAGTCCAAAACATCTGGAGGTCACCAGGTCAGGGAAGACTAGACCATGGCCTGTGTCTCTGATGTCATGACAGCATGTGAGTTCAAAAAATAATGATACAAGGGAGACTATGAGTAAATGGAGATAGTCTCTTACAAGATTTCCTAATTACAGACTTAATGTCTAGGTGAATTAATGTATGTTCTGTGGTCATATGGTTTAGTGGTATTGCTAATCTCTAGAAAGACAAGACTGGAAGAAAGAGTAGCTTGTTTTCTGAAACCAAACATTCTGCATCCTGTTTTCTATGACCTCCTGCCCTTCTCAACAACTCAATCAGGTTGTGACAAAGGTGGCTGCCTCAGACATATATTCCCTCCTCACTGCTCATCGCATTTCCCAAATGGCTGTAGGTTATAAATTGGAACAACCAATTGTTGAAAGTAAATATTAATAGTGTCTAATGGCATTTAATTTACTACATATGGTATTTCCTCTTATTATATATTGATTCCCTCAGTGTAGAATCCCAGATTGTGATCTATTTGAGGGCAAGGGTTGCATGCAATATTTCAAGTGTAAACAGCACAGTATACACTGCAAGTAAATGGCTAGTGGGATGGAGGACAATGCTCTCTTCTTTAATGTGAATTTCATGTATTTTGTCTGTGTTTACACAGCCACCTCATCTTTTGAGCTTCACAATCTATATATTTTCAGAAACAGGAGTGAGATTTTCTCCAGAATGAAGGTAATAGTAAAGAGGTACAGTAAAGCAGCTAGAAGTAATCTGTATGTGCATCTAAGTGAAAATTCTGTTCACATCTCCACTGAGATTTTAGCACTAGTCTCATAGATTTTATAAGATTGAAGTCTTGCATATTGAAAGACTTCAAGTCTTGCATATTGAAAGCCCAAACCACCCATATCTTGTATCCGCTTAATGTTCTTCCCTTAGCCCTGCCTCTCTAATTCATCCTCTAGCATTATCAAACGGAATTCAGCATGCAGAAGTTCTCAGGTTCAGTCCTCAGCTTCCTTGGGTAGAGCTAGGAAAAAATCCTGTCAGAAACCTTGGAGAGTCACTGCCAGCCAGTGACTGGGTTCAGACAGCTTGATAACCTATATTCTGCTGTGGGTTGTTTTTGAAACATCTGTTATCATGTTGTCTGAACTCAAATGTGTTAACAAGCCATGGTTTGTTAACCATGAAAACCCATGATTTGGTGTTGGGTTGTTCATCATGGTTTGTTATCTTGGCTGACAGCAGGTTGACCCACTTTTCAGCAACAGCCCACAGTTCAGTGACAACTCAAGGTTAGGGTTAGGGCCATCCTGTTGTCTGAACCCAGTCAGTGTGTTGAGAGTGCTGGGCTAGATGAACCTCTGTTTGGATTCAGGATGACAACTTCCTATGGACTTAATGTAAAGTTCTTAGGATAGAAGAGACCTTTTATCATTGCACCTTTCCTCTGCTGCTGTAGAAGACTTCTTTCTTCCTGTTTCTGAACTCTTGAAGGATGATTCAGCTCAAAAGCTGAGATTGCTGTACAAACCCAAGGTAACAGAGACACCTGCTAAGCCAGGCTCTTTTTATATTTAGAAACAGGCGTACACACACACTATGTCAGGACAGAGCAAATGAAATTGGTAATATTAATTGTAATTTCCATTGCACATCAAGACGCTTGCTTCTCTTGGGAATTCAGCATGTTTTATTTCCTTTTTACTGAATAATATAGGGGAAGCTGGAGAAAAGGGGGAGAAAGGTGCCCCAGGCCGCCCAGGGCGAGTTGGACCTCCAGGAGAAAAAGGTAGGTTTCTTTAAGGAGATTATTCTTTAACAAGCAGTATCACTTTGCATTTCCTAGTGATGTGTAGAGGCTAATCTTGCAATAAACTGTTTAGCAGTATTTTTCTGAATATGTTTTCCTACTGTAGCACAGAAGTAGGGTTGTAGTCCTATCAGGTCCAACCAATTTCAAGACCTTGGTTTTTGGCAGTAGTGTTTTTTTGAGCATAGCATGTTTGGGTTGATTTGAGATTGGCAATGGAGGATATTAAAATACCTAAGCATTTCGATATCATGTTTTCTTAGTGACTAGAAGTAGGAAGTTGTGTTATAAACATATGCAGAAGAGGAGAGGAATGGAGAGAAAGATAGGTCTGAATTTTTTAAACCTTCCATGTCTTTCTGTTTAAGGTTTTGGCAGGCAGCTCCATAGCATCCTATCTATTGTGTCATCTATATCTTTTTCTCCAATGGCTAAAAATGGAATGATTAAATCACACTGAGGGCCAAAAGAAACATTATTTTCATTTTTACTCTTCGGGGACAAATCTGAATAAAATCTGGATCCTAGTGTAGAAAGTTGGGGGACTTGAACCCTTTCCCTGCCACTATGGCCTGATCCAGTTGGGAGCAATTCCACCTGCAATTTTTGCTGCAAAATAGCAATCCCTTTGGCCCACAGTTGATACTTGAGGGACACCAAAGGGTGGTAGTAGTTCCATGCTGAAAGGTACTCATCCAAAAGTACTAACAAGGGCACCCCAGGAGAACAAGAAACCATTTAACCATCTGCTAAGGCCCAAGGCTAGTTCTTGCAGTTTTAAGAACGGGCATGCCTGCTTTGCCACCTTTCAAGGCATGGCTAGGTAATCACTAGGTGAAAATGGAGTGGTAGATGAGGTGGACCTTGGGTTTACTTGATCAGGGCTTGATATTCTTAAGCAAATTGTGTGGTAGACAGTCCTGAGATTCAGAGTGAGGGGATTTAATACCACTCTTATTTAAACATTTGTAATAGTGGTTTAATATAGCTAGAAAGCAAGCAGGAATGATGGGAAAAACAGGAAGCTTGAAAGGAGTATAGAAGAGAAGGGGGAAGATCTATGAGTAGAGGCACTGGAACAGCGTGAGCTTGGGGAAAATAAGAAGTAAAAGGGAGTCAAAAGGAAGTATCCAATATAGTCCTACATAGAGTTGACCCAATGAACAGAGAAGTTGGAGTTGGCACATGCCACCCACATGGCTCATATTTTTGGTCATGTTTTCATAAATATTGTCACCGTTTGAACTATGTTTTGCTAATGATAAAGCACACAGACACAATGCATGAATAAAAGTGGCAGTGTAAGTGCATCAGGAAGGGCTGTGCACCATTCAAAGACGGGGGTACAGAGGGGACATGTTCCAGCCTTTGATTATATGAAGTTCTTCTCATATATGCTTAGATTCCTAAGCTGTAACAGAGACTGGGACAGTTCATGTGTTTCAAAGAGCCTTCAAATAACCCTCAAACAATCCATGGGTTATTTGAGAGTTGTTTTACCCTCAAACAACCCCTGCCACCTGCATTTGCAGAACATGTGGACACCATGCAAAAATTGCAACAGACCTTTGTGTAAATTAAGCCGTGATGGGTTGTTGTGTCATCAGATCCAGATCACTACTTGGAAGTTTCCTTCAAAACCTCATCGGGTATATCTTTGCCCTCCACCTGTGGATTCCTCAGAAAAGGTGTGGAAAACCTGTCGTCTTCTAGATACTTAACTGCAACTCCTACCACCCTCAGCTGTTGGCCATTAATGGGAGTTGGCATTCAATAATGGCTGGAGGGCCCTATGTGTCTCCACATCTTCCTGTTATGAGCAGAATGCTGGATGAGATGTTCCTCTGCTTAGAGCCAGCAGGATCTTGCTTGATGTTCTTTCTTGAATGTCACAGCCAGCCTTTTCCAGCCTGGTATTCTCCAAATGTTTGAGTATCACTGCCATTATTCTTAATCACTGGCCATGTTGGGTAGACCTGATGGAAGTTGCAGCATGACACATCTGAGGGGTACCACGTTGGGGTGAGGAAAGGTGTTTTTCACATTAATGTTGTACTATTTTTCTGTATTTTTCGACACTACTATTTGGAGTTTGGGAGGTTTCCCTAAGTTCAGTATGACAAAGAGAGGAGAAAAGTAATTCCTCTGCTTTTCTGGCAACATTTTATGTTTACTGTGACACTTTGGGATTACAAGCATTTCTGTAATTCCTTTTGCGTCAGCTTGTAAATTCTAAAGTACTCTGCCTTTTTGTATTATTTGAAAAAAAAAAACATAAGAGAGGCCATTCTCATTGTAAACCAAGAAAGGAAAATCTTAGGAGAAAACCATTGTACACTAGAAACCTATTAATCTGAGGCTTTTTCATTGATTCTGCTCTTGGAATTTGAACACTGGGAGCTCTTATTTGAGAGACGCCTAGGAGCAGCTATTTAAAAAACAAAGAAATACTAAATATGGTTGCAGAGAACTAGGAGGGTTTTTAAAAAAGAACAAACAAGCAGTGTAATAAACAAACATCTCACCATGGCAACAGCAGATATTTTTGCAGAAACAAAACCCTGAAACTATTTCAGGTCAAGGTTTGTGGGCGTCTGAGGTTTCTGCCCCCCACTGTTGGGAGGCCTGAGTGGGCTCACCTTGGTACAGTATCAATACTCCAAGCAGTACTAACTGGCTGAGTCTGGCCATGCTGCATTTCTCACAGTGCCATAGAACAATTTAGGTCACGGACATTGACTAAAGTGTAAATCCTGGGTAGGTCTAGCTGCTTGCTGTGTTAGACCAGAAAAGAAAAGGGTGGGTGGCCCAGGGCCTCATTAAGATTTTGTGGTACTCTCCACCATTCAAATATTTTTCAGTTATCAGACCAAAAGCTTCACATGGTCTGCTGAGATAAATGGGTTTGGACTGTAGTGTAATACTTTCTGGTCCATTGCCTTAGAACAGGAATGCGTAACCTGTGCCCCTCCCAGGATCTTATGTGCAAGCCACTTACACGCTGCTGAATTCTCAGCTCAGCAAACACTGCAGCATTCACAAAGCCACCTACCATTTTTCTTTCTTGCTTCTAAAAGAAGAAAAATGCACATGCTTCTTTAGAGCCTCTTGGCCATGTGAAAAAGAACAGGCTGTTCTGACTGGGAAAATGGGATGTGGCTAGAGCTGAGGGGATGAGGCATAGTTATAGTTCTTTCCACTGCATCTGCGCTCTTCACACTGGAAGGAAATGCATGGAGATGCAACAGTTTCCTGCTGTTAGGACTGGAGAGGAAAGCAGATGATTATTTCCCTTGCTCAGTCCACTGAATAAGCAAAAAGGGCGGAGAAGAAGATCTGTGCTCACCACTGTATTGTCTGTCTTCAGAGACTGAAGGTGAGAACAGCCAATGCTTTGTGCCTCCCCATGTCTAGCCGCTGGACCACTGGATGGGTAATACCGAGGCAAGGTTAGAGGTCCGATGTGTAAGGAGCATGGAAGAGTGGAAGGCAGCCTTACGTTTCAGTCCTTGGAGAGCATTCTCCGTCTTTCCAGGATGTATGCTAATCAGTGGCAGATCACGGCAAATAATAAGGATGGTTTAGCATACATCTGGCATATAAACACAGTGATGGTAATAGCTATTACAAACACATTCATATAGTTGAAGGCCCCCAGTATTATTTCATTAAAAGTGGAACCTTTCCTTGCTTCTTCAGTTTCTTCCTACATTCATTTTTCCCCTCAGTTTTTTTCACAGATCATTCACATTGTCTATATAATAAGCTTTTTGGGCCCCCAGAATTCTATATTCTTACTGGGTCATCCTGGCTCCAGAGCTTTATTTCCACACAATAGATAAGGTAAAAGGTTGGGCTCTGGTTGACAAGAGGAGGTCCTGCTGCTTCTGCTTATCCTACTAGATCATTTTGGTAAGTAGCAGCAGTAAGTGCTTCAGTAAACAAGGGGATTTTGGGGACTGATGCTCCACCTATGTTTATGTGGAAACATGTTGTTGTTAACATGTCTTCATGTTGTCTCTGACCTATGGCAATCCTGTGAATGAATGCCCTCCAAAACATCCTGTCCTTGATAGCCCTACTTTGCTCTTGTAAACAACTATCATCATATTCCTTGGAAAATAAGTCAAGGATTCTTCAGAAAATGGTTGTAGACTGTGCTAATAACAGAATCAAAGGAAATAATGTGCTGGAATAAACATTACAGCATGTTCAGAGGAAGGGCTGTTTCACACACCTAAAATGTAGATTGTTACATGTGATGAAGACACACACTGGCTTTTTCTTCACCTATTTGTGCAGTGTACATACTAGGAAGCCATAAGAAATTGTAGCCACCCATTTAGTTTGCCAGTAGCAAGAAACACAGATGTGGAGTTCTTGCATCTGGCTAACTACACAAGGATTACATGTGCTTGCATATACAGAAATGGTTTCTGTGCAGGAAATTTTATAATGTGTGAAGAACTACTACCCTGTAGACTCATAGTACATGAAATTATGCCCAAGGGGATACAGGAAGAAAGTCCTATGAAATATGGGACTTTGCTTTGACATAAGAGACTCAGTTCTTTTGTCAGGATTGGAATATAGGGATGTTTGCTGGAATGGAAGGGTCAGTATGTAACAAAGACAGGACAATAAGTAGTTGTGTTTCCTGGATTCTGAGATAAGTGAAACAGTTTGTGAGGAGGGCACATGAACTTCCTTCTGCTGGCAGCTATTGATAAATGTCCTGTGCCACATGATGTTTATGGGAAAGGGCATTAACTCACAGGGAGTAAATTAATTGTGTTTATATGTAATGTTGTATTTATGGGCTATATGTGTGCCTGTTTAATTTCTGATGCAGCTGCCTGAAACAACATATTAAAGACTGCTAGGGGAGGTCCAGGGGATCATACTTCTCATGTACTTCTTTCCTCCATTTTCAATTGCTCTTTAATTGATCCTGTTCTTGATCAGGCAGCCCATTTTGC